TCAGAATCAAACAAATGAAGTGCTTCTATGTACTGAGAATAATAAATAAGTACTTTTCAGACGAATTAATTTTTTGACAGGTCAAATTGTATCTATAGTCTAGGGATTATTTAATGGAGACCTGAGATGAGACTACTCAACGACCTAAGCGAATGCGCGTGAATCTAATTTAGATTATTATATTGGTTCTTTTTATCATAGATTTTAACTAGTCATTCTTGAGAACTTACGGGCACGTGTACTGATCATTGAATCAAGACATTTAAAAATCTATATAAAAAATTTTGATTTTATAAATTGAGCATTAATAAAAAGTATTTATAAACATGGTTCAGACCAGCTTAAAAGTCTTGTTTCAATAATCGGTCCATCAAGAAACTCCGATCTTTTCCTCAATACTAGCTGATCAATTGGGCTTTAAAACCGCGCAGTAGAGTAACCATTTTGAAAAAACTTTTCACTGAATATAAATTCGAATACTTTCACAATTCTTATAAATCATTATTCAGTTGTCATTATCTTATTATTCACAATCGTTATAAACATCGAAAACAAAACCGTAAAAATACATGTGAATAAATACTTCAATCTATATTTGAAAGTGATGGGACAGGGACTCGGTCTAACGGCCCCGTATTTACAAGCCTGACGTCTTGACCATTCGACCACGAATGCTACCGGGGTCCTATACTAAGCTCTACTAAATATATAATAATTTTGCTTCGTATATATACTATATGTCTTGCATACTATGATTCATTATGTCACAAAGCTCATGCACGTGGAATTAATCGAGAACAGTAAAATATAAAATAACTAAAAACGGTTGATAATACTATCTTGAGCATAAAACTCTGACACATTGTAAAAAATGTAACTAAGACAAATTCTAACCTTGTGTTATTACAAGATTGCCACAACACTGAAGCACTGCGCACTTCATGAATGTGATACCTATACGATCAATCGATAAGGCTGATGCTAAATATATTATTCTACTAAAAGAAGAACAGAAGACTTGCTATAATATGTTTAGCAAGCAAAACGATTAGTGCAGGTATTTAGTAGAAGCGGTTCTGCATCACGATGCAGTTTTCCAAATCCGATAGATAACCATAAAGTACATCGTATATTGATGAACTTGTATTAGGACCAGTATCATATTAACAATTTGACCGGTCATCTTCTAAATCTGTTGATACTTGAATTTTCTTATTTTATTGAAAGAAGGTTAGTTGTATAACTCTAATATATTTAGCTTCCAAAATAATTATGGCAGCTGTATAAAACAAGGAGTTATGCACTGCCATATAGTTTTTCGAACCTGACAGATATTCATGAAGAAGATCGTTTCCGCAAAAACTTGTATTAGTATCAGTGTCTCGTTAACAGGTTAACCACTAATTTTCCACCTATTTGTACTTGATAAATAGCAAGTTGCTAGTTTAATGAGTTGGTGTTGCTAACAAGATTGCACCAACACGGATGCACTGCGCAGGTCATGAATGTACTAACTGTACGATCAACTAATAAGACTGTTACATGAAGGAATCGGTTATAAAATCAGAAATCGGTTCCTAAATATAGTTTTCTATTTATTCTCACTAACCTAATTAATATAGTTTTCTCAGATAACTATATTATAATAGAATTCAAATTTGGGAAGACATAAACTCAAAATTTCTATTACTATAAAGTATCATTTTTATTAGGACAGGAAGGACATTTACACTCTCCGATCTCGAAATATTGTGGACAATAATTCCATGTTATTTCCTCTTCTTCGTGTAGATCAGTAATTTTTTCAAGATAAATCTCACCTCCTATCTCATTACAGTATACTTTTGCATTTGGGAGACAGCTATGATTTACATATGACCCGGTCCAAGCCACAAATGGTTATCATTCTTATATGAACATGATGTTACAGAAAAATCTAGTCCGTAATCCATAAGATATCGTAATTCATTTTGCTTCAGTTTAATGGTGTACTCACTTAACAAATGTAGAATAGATTTTTTCGGCTAGAACTTCGTAGCACATTTTTTCAATCCCTGATATTGATCTTTTGGATATCTGAAATTATTTTGAAAAAAATGATCATTTTGGACCAAGTAAAAATAATATGCAGGAGTATGTGTGATTGATGCTATAAGTTTAGAAGTGTATTATCTAGAATAGGTACTAAAACCTTTTACAATTTTTTTGTTCGATTCAGCATCTTTTGTATAGTCGTCATTTCGTTTTCAAAATAAACGTTGTTATAATATTATCTATTGCTCAATCGAACTATGAGGCCAAATTATTTATGAAGAAGTTTCAAGTAACATATTATTTGACGTTTTAACTTGAAGAGAGAGACTGATATTTCTAGCAATTTTTACTAACAAGTAGCGTCAAATTTATAACTATTATGTTCAATGTTTGTGCATGTTGACAAAAGTTTTCAATCTCTTTTCTTACACTTTACTGAAATCTAAATCCTTTAAAATAGTTCTCAAAAGTTTGCAATTCATTTTGTGTGTTTTTGCCTCATTAAAAAATATGTCTATTGTCATAAAGTTAGCAATGTCGTCGATCGTGCACAGTTCTCTTACTTTTTTTCTTAATGCTGTTTTATACCTAAAATGAAGAATTTATAATAAATAATTTCTAAAAAATAGTCAAACTTGATTCAATATTATTAATAGTGCAATTTCAGGCAAGTCATACATGGTGGTCCGATAAGTACTTAGCCTCACCGCCCGATGGCGCCACTCTCGCAAAAGAAATATTCTATCACGTAGTACAAGCTTCTCAATGGTTACTGTCAAGATTTCAGCCGGATCGGAGTTGTAGTTCATTTTTGAGAGCGTGTGGAAGCAAGTGTGTCCGTTGATTTTTGAAAAATGGAAAAAGAGCAGTATCGGTCGGTGATTCGATTTTTGTTTTTGGAAGGGAAATCGCGCAGCGAAATCAATAAGCGCTTGAATGCTGTGTACTGTGACTCTTCTCCTTCGATGGCGACCGTCAAAAATTGGTTTAACGAGTTTCAACGTGGTCGCACGTCGATTTTTGAAGAGCCACGTCCAGGTGCTCTGAAAACGGCTACCACGGAGGATAACGTGACAAAAATTCACGATCTCGTATTGGCAGATCGACGATTGAAGGTGCGCGAGATAGCTAAGATGGTAGGCATCTCAAAAGACCGCGTGGGTCGTGTCCTGCATGAAATTTGGGCATGAGAAAGCTGTCGACGCGATGGGTGCCGCGTTTGCTCACTCCGGACAACAAGCGCAACCGTGAGACAGCTTCAGAGCAATGTCTGACGCTGTTTAAGCGCAATCCGAAGGAGTCTCTGCGTCGTTTCATGACAGTCGACGAAACATGGATCCACTGGTATACACCAGAGACCAAGGAACTGTCGAAACAGTGGACTTTTCCCGGCGAAAGTGCTCCGAAGAAGGCGAAGACTGCCCCATCGGCCGGAAAGGTGATGGCCATCGTTTTCTGGGATTCACAAGGTGTGATCTACATCGACTACCTGGAGAGGGGCAAAACGGTTACAGGGCTATACTATGCCGAATTATTGGGCCAATTCGACGTCGAATTGCAGAAAAAACGGCCCCATTTGGCGACGAAAAAAGTGCTCTTCCACCATGACAACACACCGGCTCACACCTTCGCCGTCGCCATGGCCAAATTGGTCGAATTAGGCTACGAACGGCTGCCCCATCCACCGTATTCTCCAGATTTAGCTCCGTGCGACTTCTTTTTGTTTCCAAACTTGAAAAAGTCACTCGCCGGACAGAAATTTGAGTCGAATGAGGAGGTAATCGCTGCCACGGAAGCCTACTTTTCAGACCTCGAGGAAACGTATTTTTCAGACGGGTTAAAGAAGTTGGAGCATCGATGGGCCAAGTGTATAGAACTAAAAGGAAACTCTGTTGAAAAATAAAACGCCACTTTTCCAAAATTTTTGTTTTTCTTTTGTAGGCTAAGTACTTATCGGACCACCCTCGTACGTCACTGCTTGGAAAGGTGGCTCAATAATTTTAATATAGCTTGCTGTTTTATTTATCCGCATTATTAATTTTATTAATTTTATTATTAATTTTAGTAATTATATTATGAATTTTATTAATTTTATTCTATTAATTATTTATTTTATTATTTCATTAATTATTTTATTATTATTTTATTAATTATTAATTTTATTCCAATATTAAAAAAATATTCAGTGGGTGCTCTATCGTGTTGATCACGCCCACAATAGAGAAACGCTACCTTTCGGCGTCCACGTCGCGCCCGCTGGAAACGTCAATATCGCGTCGATGCTCTCTGCAGCAGCGCTATAATAGAGACGGCTAACGGAAGCACTGGCTACAGCCGCCAATAGTGGTAGGCAGTAAGGCTGTACACAATCACTCATCACACAAAACCTACACATCTGATTGACTGTCCGAAAATTCTCTGAGAGCAGGAATGAAGGGCCCTATAAACGGGTATTGCCTACGAATGAGATGGAACCCTATAAACGGATATTCTTTCCAAGCGGGTTATAAATAAGGAGCCTTTATAAATGGGCATCTCTCGACTGAATGGTTTTAAATTCAGAGGAATGACGGATTAGTCGATCAGACACAAAGCAGAATTTCACCAGACGGTGGCGAGATCACGAGAGAGTTTACCCTAGATTGTGTGTGTGCCGACTCTGGAGGGTACAATCGTAAAACCAGTCTCGCCAGAACCCAGCTCAGCCAGCATGGGAGGCTCGCCCTACACAATGGTAAAGCGCCGAATAAGCGCCAAATCTCGCTCTCTGTAGTAATCCCAATTGGCGATCGGAAGGGCCCTTGCTGCAGGGAGGGGGGGAGGAGGAACGGTAGAGGCCACCAGACTCTAGGCACGCTCGATCAGGGGGTCAACTCAGGAAAGATTGCAGGATCCACTATACCTGGTAATTAGCTCTGATCACTAACACATAAAACACATAGTAGAATGAAGGAGATGAAAATGAGATGAAAGGTAAAGAAAATTTTGCAGGTACTAGAGTTCCACCTGCGCTCATCGACTCAGGAGAGTCACTGGAGCTGCCCGGCTCCCCCATTACACCAGTAGGAAACCTGGCTGGTGGATGGATAATTGCGACAGGAGAAAGGACAGGGAAGAAAGGAAAGGACGTCGCCAGAATCCTGGGAAGCTGTGGAGAGTAAGATGCGAGAGCAACTTCTCACCATACACAGCGTCCTAGGACAAATAACGGAGAAGACGAACGTCCAAAGAAACGCGAGTCGCGTGATTACGAACGAAATGGCTGAGATATATGAGGCTGTAGAAGTTTGTATGTATGAACTGAAGCCAATGCGACAGATCAGACAAAAGACTAACGTAACGGAAAGACAATGTAATGGAGGAAACTCCAGGACATAAAAGGCGACGGCTAAAACAGACCCCCCCCCCCCCCCATACCCAGACCAAGTAGATGACGAAAGACGGAGAACGCACCTAGACTTTGCTGCCACACAGTAAACGCCGGGGGTGAATGCCGGAAAGCGACAGACACCTGACGTGGGGGATACCACGCATACCACTCAACAAATTCCATCGGAGGATGTTGAGATACGAGCGGAGGTGTCAGAGGACTAGGCCATCGTCGTAAAAAAGAAAAAGAAAAGGAACAAGAAAAAGACCGACAACGAGCCGGTACAAACGACGACAGACGGACACAGAAGCCGAGGATCGGAGTGTCCCAACCTGAAAACCAGGCGTGGGACCATTCTGATCAAGCCGGTGGAAGGACAACTGTACGCTGATGTCTTGCGGACTATTAAACAGGAGGTAGACCCCAAGACAAAGAAGGTAGACGTTCGGACGATTAGAAAAATCAAAGACGGTGCTGTATTGATGCGGCTGGAAAAGTCCCAAGGACAGGACTTCCAAAGGACACTTCAGAAAGTATTAGGACAGACTGCGACAGTAAAAGGCTTAACTTCCAGGGTGACCCTGGAGTTTGCTGACTTGGACTGCGTCACGACGGTACAGGACATCGCGAACGCGATAAATCGCAAACTAAATACTCGGAACGGAAAGTGCATCTCTTTGCGCCAAACGCATATGGGAATGCACGAGCCGTTTGCGAGTTCGACACGACAGAAGCAACGAGACTAATAGGCAAAGAACGCATCAAAATAGGATGTATGAATGCCTCGGTTACGGACATACACGGAGAGAACGTAAAGGGCTGGACAGAAAGAACTGCTGCATGAAATGCGGACAGACGGGTCACGTGGGCAAGGAGTGTAAAAACACTACTGACTGCTTCCTCTGTAAGGGAATAGAAGGACAGAACCTAGCCCACGTGCCTGGATCAGGCGGGTGCGCCGTATACACAGCAACACTGACGGAACTGAAGACGAAACAGAAAAAATGACCCTGACGATACTACAATGCAATGTGAACAGGAGTAGCGTAGCACACATGCTCCTCCCTCAAATTGCGACGGAGACGAACGCAGACGTGCTTGTTATAAGCGAACAATACAGGAACAGAGCTGAGCCATCGTGGTTCGCTAGCAAATCGAACACGACGGCGGTGTGGGTACGCGGAAACGAAGCGATGCGAGTCTCGGGAAGCGGGTCCGGAGCGGACTATGTTTGGGTGAAGGTGGGAACTGTCATTATCGTCAGTGTATACCTGTCACGGAACTATTCCACGTTGGAGTATGCCAACAGACTCGCAGATATCGAAGACACCATAAGGGATATACCCGGAAATACGATCGTGGCAGGCGATTTTAACGCGCGGGCGATTGAGTGGGGTATGTCCATGACAAACAGACACGGACGACTGCTACTAGAGATGGCCGCGAGGCTGAAACTTGTAGTGGTGAACGAGGCGACATTTAGACGATCGGGATGGGGTCAATCTATACCAGACATGACCTTGGCCACAGACAGACTACTGACGCGAATAAGAGGATGGAAAGTGATCAAGGAATATACAGTCAGTGATCACGAATACATCGTCTTTAAAGTGACAGACGAAAATACGACTAGACGAAGAGGTAACGTGTTACTCCCTCTACGATGGGACACGAAACACCTGGACAGAAAAGAACTCGACAGACTACTGCAAAACGCCTTTTACGGAAACCACTCGAAGTGGTATGGACCATGACTCGGCGGAGAAGTTAGCTGAGGAGGCAGAAAAATACCTCCATCACTTATTTGAAGCTACGATGCCAAAAAAACGATACGGACGCGACCGGCGACAGATGTATTGGTGGACGCAAAAAATTGCAGACATCAGACGCGAATGTCACCGGCGACGTAGACAGGCACAAAGACAAAGAAACAGACATGACGAAGAAGCCTCAGAGGCATACAAACTTGCCAGAAAAAGGCTGAGAGCTATAACGGACAGCAAACGACAATGCTGGACATGACTGACAGACGAGGTGGACTCGGACCCCTGGGGGATGGGTTACAAAATTGTGACCCGAAAACTAGGCGTCCGAGCTCCACCGAAGAAAAAAGACGCTAGGACAATGGAAAAGCTAATTGAGAGTCTTTTTCCAACGCATCCTGAACGCAACCTTTCTGAAGATGAACAAGACTCCTGGACCAGACAGTATACCGGGTGAACTGCTACGGTATGTAGCGACTCGACGGCCCGACATACTCTTGCAGTTGTACAGTGGGTGTCTGACAGCGGGTTTCAGTAAACTTTGGAAGAACACGAGGTTGGTACTCATTGGCAAAGGCAAGGGAGACCCCGATAAGCCGAATTCGTATAGGCCCTTGAGCCTCCTCAACACGACCGGCAAATTATACGAACTGCTACTGAGATCAAGACTGAACGCGGCGGTGCAAGCTGCTGGCGATCTATCGGACCGACAACATGGCTTCCGGAAAGGACGCTCAACGATAGAAGCAATCACAGACGTGAGACAGGTAGTTGATAAAATCAACGAGATTTGCTACGGAGCCAGACCAATAACACTCCTAGTAACATATGACGTAAAGAACGCCTTCAACTCTGCTAGGTGGGTGGATATTCTGAGAGCACTAGACGGCTTTCAGATGCCCGCCTACCTTCTAAGAGTCTTGAAGGATTACTTAAAGGACCGAAGATTGACGTATGAAACGACAGAAGAACGGAAGTACCGAAAAATTACAGCGGGGGTGGCACAAGGATCCATACTGGGTCCCGACCTCTGGAACGTACTGTACGACGGACTAATAAAGCTCGAAATGCCCCCGGACACGCGTCTGATCGCCTACACTGACGACATAGCAGACGTTAGAACGGCCCGCGACACACATCTAGCTCAGCTCAAACTGAGCCAGGTGATGAGGCGTTTGGATGGGTGGATGACAGACCACGGTCTGAGACTGGCTCTTTTTAAGACAGGCTTACAGATACTGACGAGACAGAGAATAGACACGATAATATCGATGACCATAGGAACGGAACGACTGGAGACCAAAAGTGAGGTAAAGTACCCGGGGATGACTCTAGATACGAAACTGAACTTTTGGCCCCACATACGAGACGCAATCGCCAGAGCAAGCGAAAGGACCAAGGCCTTGAGTAGACTGATGGCAAACACGAAAGGACCGAGACCGAGTATACGAAGACTGTTGATGGACATAACCCCGACGACCAACGTCAGGGTGCAGGAACACATGAACAACCTAGCAACCAGGATTACGGAACTGGAAAATGCCGTGAACAAAAGTACGCGGCAAGACGAGTCAAACAGTTCCAATGAGGAACCACAACCCGAAAACACGCGTAGGAGTGTCGCATTCCAGGACACTTTCACATGCCATTACGACGCAAGGCTACCCCAGAGCACTCCAGCCGGACCCGGCCTGAGGCCCACGGGGGCCCCCGACAGGACCCCCCGCCGAACGCCCCCTTTTGGAGAGGGTGGACAGCATCAACTCGGTGGAGTTAATGCTGAAGTGAACAACCACCCGTCGAGCATGTGGTCATCCCAACAGACGTCAAGCCCGTTATCCACAACAAGGGACGTCGGCCGCATCGTCAGGGGATGGAAGCTCAGGTTCTCCGGAGAGGGCAACGCGAGCATCGACACCTTCCTAACGAGATTAGAAAACTCGAGGAGCAGCGCTGGACTCACGGAAGACGAGATGCTCACGGCTGTCTCCGAGTTGCTCACCGGTCCTGCCCTTGTATGGTTCGAGGCAATGAGGAATGAATGGTTCTCCTTCGCGGATTTCGAGGCAGACGCCAGAGTATGGTTTGGAACCAGCAGGCAACAGCAGCAGCGTCTAATCAAAGAGGTACAAGGCCGATATCAGGGCCCAGACGAACCCGCGAACGTGTATATCGCGAACCTGATGGGCCTAATGAGTCGGCTAAACCCCAGGATGACGCACGAGAGTCAGCTAGACCTGCTTCATACCAACCTCCTACCGGAAATCCAAAGCCAAATACGGAGATCAGAAGTGGACTCCGTACGAACCCTAAACGTCCTGGCCATGACGGCCCAGCACAACTTGCATCAGCGGAGGATGGAGCGGACGATGCCAGACCCTCAGTCGACTTTGTATCCTGAGATGGCATATCATCCCCGCACCGACGCGAGCAAGGCTCGTAAAGGGAAAGTGGCTTCCATGTCCGGTGATAAACCGGAAGTCAGCGATAGATTGGAACGCATGGAGAAGGTACTCGAAAAGGTGACGCACCAGGTCGTCTACACACCGACGCCCCCGGGGGCAGCACCTAACCCGAGTCTGGAAGCCGTCGATGGTGAAAGGAAAGTCCCACCCATCGACGCATTCAGCCAAATCCTGTTATCCCTTAAAGAAATATCGGCGGAAATGAAGAGTAACCGCACCGATAAAAGCTCGACTTCCGAGGACCGAAGTAAAAGGCCGGAGACTCCCCGTAAACGAGGAAGAGAGTTCTCTGGGCCGATTAAATGTGCCGAGTGCGGCCTACTGGGTTATTATAGGAAGTTCTGTCCCCAGTGTAATAAGGGAAACGAGCAAAGGAGTGGATAGGTGGGGTTGATCCCACTCCTTCATCCAATAACCCAAACCCCGTCAAAGAGATCTCGCGGCCTCCGCCAACACAGCCCACGCCGATAACAGCGAGCGTGTTGGGCGTCGAGGACGAGAACTCCATTGCTGACGCCAAAGATAAGCGTGGCGGAAGAGTGCGCTCGGAGAAGAAAGGTTTCGACGCTGGTAAAGCCAAAGACCCTAGACCGGCCGAGGCGGTGACGTACGGATCGCACACGCCCTCGGGGGCACGGGCTAAGGCAAGTAAACCGTCGAAGAAGAACCTCATGGAAACTCCGATCGTCCGAACCAAAGGGGCTCGGACGACAAGTAACGTCACTCGACCACGCAAGAGCACAATGGTTAGCGCTATAACGAATAAAGGGCAAAGCTGTGGAGCCGTCGAAACTGTTCCCCGATATTCCCCGGAACAGGAGACGCGTTGGTGGCTACCGGTGAAGATAGGGGACTTCCAAATACGGGCCCTCTATGATCCGGGAGCTTCCACCACAGCCATGGGTAGTAATGCTCTACAAATAGCGACTGTGCTAGGCGTCAGATTAGATACCACCCACGCGGGAACAGCAGGATTACCAGACGGTCGTAAGTTAACGATCGTCGGTCACGCTATGCTACCTTTCACCGTGGGAGGATTGACGATGCCGACGAGAGTAGCCATCCCCCCTACCCTCGTCGAAGAATGTATTTTAGGAGTGAACTTCGTCAGGTTGTTCAGAGCGGTACTTGATCCAGACGATAACACGTTGCTGTTCAAGGGATCGCAGGCCAAGATGGAGCTAGAAGTAGCTAGTTTGGAGGCTGGTCCGAGGTTAGCCACAATCGGACTAGCCGATGTTACGGCTACACAACAGACCATGCTGCAGAAGACCATCAACGAGGCCCTATCCCGAGCCCCGACGGGCTTGGGATGTGCGGCAGGCATCGAGCACGAGATTCGGGTCGGTGATACGAAGCCGATTAAACAGCGTTACTATCCAGTATCGCACAAGGTCGAGCAAGAAATGCATAGACTGGTAAGGGAAATGTTGACCTAAGGGGTAATCGAGCCAGCCGACAGTGGCTGGTCGAGCCCAGTGGTCATGATACGCAAGAAGGACGGCTCATACAGATTTTGTATTGACTTCCGAAAGGTCAATAAGGTCACCGAGCCGAATGCGTATCCCTTACCGTTTATGCAAGATATATTAAGACGTTTGCGGAATGCGCGCTATATATCTACGCTCGACCTCAGTAGCGCGTATCACCAGATCCCACTCAAGATCGAATCTCGGCCGATTACGGCCTTTACCGTACCTGGACTGGGACATTACCAGTTCGTACGAATGCCGTTCGGCCTCTCGTACGCCGGTGCCACCTTCCAGCGGTTGATCGATAGTGTGATCGGTCCCGAGCTAGGCGAATTCGCCTTCGCCTATTTGGACGATATCATAGTGGTATCGTCCAGTTTCGAGGATCACCTACGACACTTAAAAACCGTATTGGACAGGGTGTGCGAAGCCGGCCTCTCGATCAATCGAAAGAAAAGCGTCTTCTGCAAGTCTGAAGCCAAATACCTCGGCCTGCTGATCAACCGCGAAGGGATCAGGCCAGACCCTGAAAAGGTGCGCTCTATCATGGAGTACCCAAGACCAGGAAATGTGCGACAGCTGCGCACCTTCCTGGGGGTAGCTTCGTGGTACCGCAGATTCTTGACCGACTTCGCCACACACGCTCAACCGTTAACGAGGTTAACAGGAAAAAAGAGCGAATATGTGTGGGGAGAGGAACAGGAACAAGCCTTCGCCAAAATTAAGGCACTCATGATGTCCGCACCATGCCTGGGATTACCAGAACCAGATGGGCAGTACGTGCTGGAGACAGATGCTAGCGCTACCGGAATCGGGGCCGTCCTGTTACAAAAGGCAGGAGACGGCGACCGGATCATAGAGTACGCTAGCAGAGTCCTTAATCCGGCTGAGCAAAACTACTCAGCTACGGAGCGCGAATGCTTGGCGGTCGTGTGGGCCATCCAAAAGTTTCGCCCATACATAGAAGCGTACCCGTTCAGGGTGGTGACTGATCACAATAGCCTGAAATGGCTATACAACCTGAAGAATCCAATTGGACGTCTCGCCCGATGGGCCTTACAACTTCAAGGCCATACTTTTGAGATCGAATACCGAAAGGGGGCAGACAATGTATTGCCCGACGCCTTATCACGCGCTTTCGAGCCCACGAAGGCAGAGGTTGGCGCAATGGACCAGCCAAAGTCAAGGGACAGCGCCTGGTACACGGATCAATTCCAACGCGTCGAGGGCCAACCAGAGCAATACCCGAATTGGAAGGTTGTCGGCCGGGTGATGTATCACCAAAAGCCGAATCATGATCATCCAGGAGGAGATCAGTATGG